GTAAGTCAGTTGACCGAACCACGTTAAATATTTGTGTCTCTTTTGGTAGATTTCTCTTTTGTTATCGTCGCTCAAAGTTTGCTTTGCTAGTGTCCGCATGACACCTGATTATTTCGGTCCCAACACAAGATATAAAGTTATGACCTCTTCCTTAATGAACTAACGCGTATGGGGCTGACTAATTCGTTTTTACCCACAAAAATCCTATTATGGGACACTTGCAATTCACTGAATAGTGGAAGAGAGGACGAAGAGTGCAGAGAGCAAAATGTAAAGGAGAAAGGAGAAACACTTCTGTAGTAAAACTAAAGGCTAGAGGGAAGCACCGTTGAAAAACAAATAGACGATTAGTTTTGGACTAAAACTGTTAACATCTTAGAATATTAAGGATACTTTATGTTATTCGGAATACTGCAAGGATTAACTTAAACTTTGAGCAAACATTAAAGATTTTTATGTCAAAAACTTAACCTTTGACCCAAACATTTAAGGATGATTTGTGTCAAAAAGTCGAAGAAATACAAGTATCAGTAAATGTAAGTCCGGGCCAATATACTCTATAACGGCTAATTCCGAGATAATTAAATTTAGTATAACTTGTTCCCCTTTGGTATAAAGGAGAAGATAGCATCTAGGGGTGTCAATGGATATTTAAAAATCGACTAAATAGATCAAATTGTATCGTACCAAATCGATTTTTAAGTTTTTTTTAATAAAACCGTAAGTTTTTATAAAAATCTATAACCGTACCGATAATTATGGTATGTATTTTATTTTATAAAAATTTATCAAAAAATAGCCAATCGTGCCGAATAAATTTACATGTGAAAAATAAATTTAAATATTAAGTTTAAAAATAATAATATATTAAGATTTTTCTCGGGCCTTAGAATTGTGAAAACTGTTACAAACCAACAAGTAATTAAATTCAAAATCTTAATTACCAAATCTATAATTTCACTCCTATTGAAAATAAATTATTTTCAGCATATTCACTAGCAACACACAAGATATTCTAGAAATTAGTAGCAAACAACAATATATTGAATATGTTTCCTTTCGTATGATTTAAAATTTATCTTTTTGGATATTTAATCTTTTATAGACTTTATTCTTGACTTCCAGCTTGGTTAATATCTTTTTACTCGTATGATTTATATTTTCTTTGTCTTTGTTTTGTTTCTTTTACGTTGCTGTAGAATAGTTGAAGGACCTATACTCTAGCCATCTTTCATATTTTCTTAATTAATCACCTTTCAAACAGTAAAAATATCTAGAGAGTTAGTTAAGTCCTATAAAAGTACGTATGTTATTGCATTCTACTTCTGCTAGTGACTTTTATATGACATGTAAAAAAAAATACCAAAAACTAACCAAACCGTACTGATACCAAAGAAACCGATATGATTTGGACGATTTCAAAAAGTCTAATTTCGGTTATATATAATAGATAATCGAAAAATTAATATGGTACAAATTTTTAAAAATAACTGTACGAACCGAACCATTTACATGCCTAATAGCAGCCTAAGGCTCTAGCCAACCTCCACTGACCAGATTGATTTTGGTATCGGAAAAGGGTCAAAATTACCCCTGTACTATTGAATATTATTTAAAATTACTCTCCATTATACTATTTGATCAAAATTGTATCCTTAGAGGTCGTTTGGTAGCTGGTTAGAAGAAAGGTTATTCATGTATAAGGGGTAACATAACTTATACCATGTTTGGTAGGCAATAGTTATTTTGTATAAAATTCTGCATAACTAATACCATGTTTGGTTGACATTTTTCAATTATGCATAAATAATACATGTATAAGTTATGAGTCAATCTGTGTATTATTTTATGCGGGATAGAAGATGGAATAACTAATACATATATTAGTAATACATGGATAAAATACTGAAATGACAAATTTACCCCTATCACTTTACACATAAGGCTTCCTTATTTCTCTGCCAACCCGTTAACAGGTTTCACTTGCTTTCACTTGCCAACTATATACCTTGTCTTCTCTCATTTTTAAAGAACAAACTAGCAAAAGCAAACTGGAGAAGCCACTAGAAAATGGAAATACCAAAACTAAGAAGTGAAAATCAAATATGTCTAAACTTTACATAGTTCAGTAGTATGACGAAGAAGTAAAAGTAACACCCAAAATTCTTAACTAAATTATTTCCTACATAAATGAAAAGAGAGAAAAAACAATGCAAAAGAAGGTCAGGGGTATAGTTGTAAACAAGCATTTTACTTTAAAATTTATATAATGTATATCAATTTCTAATACAACAAACCAAACATTCAAAAAAATAATCTCTGCACAACTAATACCTGCATAACTAATCCCTGCATTACATATCCCTGCATAACTAATACATGCATAACTCTAACCGGCAACCAAACGACCCCTTACTGTTATACTTTCGTTTAAGTCTATCCCTAACCTAGATAGCTGACCATTTGTCACTTTCAAATTCAATTGACCTGTCCCAATTTAAATTATCTGAACCCTCTCTTACCCGACCCTAAACCTCCATCTAAAATTATCCCACCGACCCCAACTCCTCACTCCTCTCTTACCTCGCCGGTTTTCGTGGTGAAAAACTAACGTTGGCCTTTAATGCATTGGGATTTTCCTCTTCTCCAAGTTTTCTCCACTGCTCTGTCTTCTCTTCTTCTCATTTCTTATTATTTCTTTTTTTCCTAACCAATCACTCAACCAAAAACCACCACTGGTCGGTGACAAATGGCAAGAAAACACACTTGAAATACAGATTAAGGCCATAAAACATCATATCCAAGCTAGGTGACCAAAACGCCATTGCTAGAAAATGTTTGCTTCGACAAAAAATACAGACGCCGACCTCCACTAGCCGTGAAAGATGATTTATGGTGAAAACCAAGGCCAACGATAAAAGCAAAAAACAGGGCTCCGCCTACGAACCGAGAAGATAAAAACTCGAAGCCTAAAAAATCCCAACAAATCAGTAGCAGCGTGTACTGTCCACTCTCATTCCCCATGACTGCAAGCAGCACTCCTTCTATCAATGGATTATCTCCGATTGCAAGGAGAGTCCAAGACCATCTCTTCTTCATATTACAACTCTTACCTTTGACTATATCTTTTGCTTTGTGATGACCTGTGGGAAGTTCTAATCTCTTATTTACCGCTTGTTTGGATGGTTATTAGCCATTGTATCATATTGTATTATTATTTAAAATAATATTTAAATATTGTATTGTTAAATACATTGTTTCGGAACAATCAAAAACCTTATTTTATAAAACAACTGATTTGGGTTGGTGGAATCGTTTCCTATTTTTTTTCAATTATGCCCTTACTTATTACTTATTGACCTACTTTGTCTTCTTTCATCGTTTCTAGAGTTGGTTTGCCCCGTTCTTTTTATCCAAATCTCCGTGTCATTTTCCATCGCTTTTTTTTTTGGCTAATATTAGTTAACCTTTTTTTTTAAAGGTTTTTGATCTTGTTTCCAAGCTACGTAATTAATAATAAATTAGTAGAAAGATGTTTTCTTAAATTATTTTTATTTGTAATTCTTGATAAATTTTATTTAAAACAATTGAGGGTATTTTAGTAAACTTATCAGTTACATTACAGTACGATGCATTCAAACCTAACAATAAAAATGTTATTTAACAACAGTAAACAATACAATATATTCAAAACATTATGTCCATAAAACGATGCAATACAATATAATACATTATAAAATAATAAGTAATAATGATCCAAACATAGTGTTGGACCTTTTTTGGGAATTCCTTTGCCGTAGAGATTGGGATCCGTCTTCCATTGATGCCCTCAGATCCTTTGCTGCTGAGAATATAAACAAACAACAATTTCCTTGGAAGAAGTTGTACCAGCAAATCTATCAATTGGACACTGTCTATTGTAGTAGGCTTGGAACCCGTTTGGACATAAGAATTTTTTTCACTTTTTTTCCAAAAAATTCTACTTTTTTCGAAATCATTGTTTGATCATAAATTTTCAATTTTCACTTGAAGATAAATTTTGAAATTTTTTGAAAATTTGAAAAAATTCAAAAAGTTATTTTTCGAAATTTTTACTCAGATTAATAAAACTTCAAAACAACCCAAATATCTAAATACATTTCTAATTTTCAAATACCGTCTTCACTTAAAATTTTTTTTATTTGTATTTTTTGGAATTTTGCAATTCATATGTCCAATAGCCCCCTTGGGGTGAGGTGAGGGAAGGAAAGAGAAGACGGGAAGGTGAAGGAGTGGGGTCGGTGGGGTTTATTTTTATTTTCGGAATAGGGGTTTTAGAGTCGGTTAACGGGGCACATAGGAGAGGGTTTGGGTATTTTATAATTGGTTGGGTCAATTGAATTCGAGAGCAATACGTAGCCAGCCGTCTAAATAGGGGTAGATTTAAACAAAAGTATAATTGTAGGGACACAAAGGGCAATTTTTTAAACAATATTCGACAGTTTTGACCCTTTTCTCTTTTGGTATTGCTTCGTCTCTTTCTTCCCCTATTATTGGAACCACACCTCTTCAATTTTGACTTAATTGGGAAAGTATGTTTCTGGAAATTGAATAGAAAGTTCTGATCTTTGCTTAGCTGAATATGTTTCTCGATCTCGAACAGCTAGCTCTTTATTTATGAAACAAAACGATTACTCCTTTGATTAGTACGTAATCTATCTGATATATAAATCACAGAAAGTTCAAATATTCGAATTTTCAGCTTTATTTCCCTATCATTCGTTAAAAAGTTCTGATCTTTGCATCATATTTACTGCTTTTTTATATTATAAATTGCATTCTATGCACTGATTTGGGGTTCTTATCTTCTGTCAGTTGCAATAATTCCATAGAAAATTCAAGTCTCTATTATGGATTACTTCTATATTATTTCTATTGTGAATTCGGATTAAGGCATGTTTTTTGTGCGAAATTATGTAGGATGATTCTGATGCCCTTATAAAAAATATAAAATATAAAATATGGACTACGTGATGCCCTTTTCAATAAAAAGAAAGAGGGATTTACTCATCAAAAAGAAAAAAAGAAAGACGGATGATGTGATGCCTCTTAATCGCTGTAGTAAGCGTCAGAAGGTAATATGCTTTTAAATTCTACCTTTAATATTCTTTTATTCCAGTCCTAGGCTAATGAATATATAAGGAGTTATATATCTTTTTTCTTTCGTGCAGAATCTTTTCAAGTGTGGGATTGACAACTTGCCTGATGAGTTGCTTATTGCCATTCTTTCCTGTCTTACCTTCCAAGAGGCAGCAAGGACCTGTATTCTCTCGCAGCGATGGAGATACTTATGGAAGTATACAACTTGCAGTATTCAGTTTTATAGTGAAGGCACATTGGAGTTTGAGGCAGCAGAAAAGTTTATAAATTCGGTGAATGGAGGCTTAAAATTGCATCAGGTGAATCTATTGAGCAGTTCAAAGTTGGTTTTGTCTATCCAAGTAATCGCCCCAACAAGGATACTGAATTTGCAATAGAAAGGCAACGTAAAGTCAACCATGATATGATGGCTGGATTAATTTTGCAATGGAAAAGCAGGTCAAAGTATTTGAACTAAACATGGCGGCGGGTCCTCTTGACAGCACTGGACTTTGGAGGAATTATAGCATTCCTCATGTGCAAAAGCTGTTGTCGATTTCTGGCGAGGTTAAGTTGCTGAAAACATTGACTACTCTCAAATCTTTCCGATTTGTTAACATCCGAATAACACAAGAAGTTGTTGAATTTCTTTTGTCACGCTGCCCTGTGTTGGAGCAAGTGTGTATTTCAGCCTCAAAGTCTCTGAAGCGTTTGAAAGTTGCTGGTTCCTTACCTAAGTTAAGGTCCATGGAAATATCAAATTGTGATTCTTTGAAGACTATGAAGGTTCATGCTCCAGGTCTTGTGTCTTTTACATACATTGGACGTGATATCAAAGTGCCTTTCAAGAAAGTTCCCCTCTTATCTTAGCTAACTATCGGAGGTGATTATGCTGGCTCTTTTATTTTTGATGCTCACAAGCACTCAAGCTATTGTCGAAATCTGAAGAAGCTTAAACTGAAAGTGTCACAAAAGGTTGTAGTAGACATCTCCCCTATCGGGGAGATTCCCAGTGAACATCCTCAACTCTACAATCTGAAAGAGTTGGAATTGGACATCACTTTAGGAGAGGATGATGGCCTTTGCTTCTTCACATTCTTGACTAAGTGTTCTCCTCAGTTGTCAAGGTTAACCTTCAAGGTAAAAGTTCTTGTCTCATATATATTCTTCTCCTTTATGCCATGCCATGCTCTTGGCTCTTGCCCTCTATGAGCTATATGACGTAAAGTCTTAAAGATGGTTAAGCTTAGGAATTCTTTGAAATGTTCTGCTGATTGTATAAACATTTTAAAACTCATCTAAAAGCTTAATATATTAGAGAATGCCTGCTAAATTGAAAAAGCGTATTCTTTTAAAAGAGAAGAAGATTAGATCTACTTAATTATTTAGCCTGCATAATAAGTAAGCAATGAGATAGGTACATAATTAATTGCTTTGGGATCGTGTTGTTCTACGAGCCGTTACTATCATTACACTAGTTGCATGTCAGATATCAACGAATACAAATTTTATTACTTCCAGTTTTATATCAGTGATTAAAAGAATGAACGTAATCTTTGTGTAATCTTGTTCACTTAAGAAGTAATCAAAGAAAGTATACCATGGCTGACTCTAAAATGTGGGATTTTGCCTTTATAATATTGCTTTACAAGAAAAAGAAAGATCATATATGTTCACGCACCGTCATCACTATTATGGTATGATGAGTAAGTCTAACCATACATTATTTACATAAAATGTTCGTGGAATAGTAAATAATACTTAGTAAATTGAATGATAACAGAATCTGTTTTATTCGTGCATTATAGTCCTATATATGATATGTGAGCGTTACTGTGTTAAACCAAAAATCAGGAAAAAAACTGTTAGAAAAAATAAAAGAAACTGGAAAAAACAGAAGAGTTTAAGAAATATTCCGAGTCCACAATTTTCTTGTGTGTCCTTAAGGAATTTTAACCCCCTCACACGTTGCAAGGTAATGGATTAAATCCTCCCAGGATAAAACGGAATAAACCTTCCTGCAACAGTGGCAATACAAACTGCAGGATACCAACGAACTCAAAGAACAGAGCAAAATCACACTTACGAATTTGAGAGAGAGAGACTGCGAATTAGAATGCAGTATATTCGGAAAGAAAGAAGTTCTGGAGTGTTTTCCGTGTGTAGAAAATGGAGCCTTGCCTCAGAATTTATAGGCAATTATCAGAAGAGGTGTCTGGAAAAGTGTTTTTTCAGAAGAATACGCCGGCCAGAGAGGCCCTCTGAACCTTCAGCAGGGTTCTGGCGTATTTTCAGTAGTGATTTGGCATTTAATTAATTATTAAATAATTAAATAAATTTTGTCCAAAAATAATCTTATCGATCGATCATTTGACAAATCCAAATCCAAATCCGAATCCGAATCCGAATCCGAATCCGAATCCGAATCCGAATCCGAATCCGAATCCGAATCCGAATCCGAATCCGAATCCGAAGCCGAAGCCGAAGCCGAAGCCGAAGCCGAAGCCGAAGCCGAAGCCGAGCCGAGCGAGCGACGACGACGGCGCGAGGGTTCATTCTCTTTAACTCCTTTTAAGAGCTTTAAGAAGTGATTCTATATATAAGCACACAAATGTGGTTATCCCTCACCAATGAGGGACAAAGTGCAAGACAAAAGTTCACTTATTCAAATTTTCAATTTCCCTCCATTTCCAATTCACACTTCTTTTACTTTAAAGCCCAATGGCTTAAAGTCCAACAATTCCCCACATGAATGAGAATGGCTGTATCAAGAAAGATCATAGATGAAAGCTATGTGATTTTGCAAGTAAGGATTAATTGCATCTGGATAAGTAGGTTTCCCTTTGAACTTTCCGTAGTGAACATATGTTGGATATACTCGGTCAATCGGTAGATTTGATATCTTTGAACCGTCGAACTTTAGTGTATACCTAGACAACCATATATCACACAACCAACCCTTAACCGTCTTTTGGTTCTCATTGTTGTGTTCGTTTTAGCCATGAACACCGCCTGGTTTCATAAGTGCGTAGAGAATTGGCCTTACAAAATTCTCATTGAAGCGGCTTCCACTTCACACTTACATAGGTGATTCCTAAACGTATAATCCTTTAGATTGACACTATTTGATAAATACCTCATCAAACTTAGGTAATCATTAAAGAACGTGTAAAGTTCTATCCTTGTTACTGAACATTGTCTTCATCACGAGAATGGACCAAAGATTTTATTTTGACAATGTTGAACCGGTCAATCACAACTTTGTTTGAGCTCCTTGAACCTAGATCTCGGAACATCCAAAATTCTAGGTAGAGTTATCGCCATGTTGACTTGTCCTCGGCCATAGTCCCATTCCCTTAGATGATTTCTCAACTCCCTCTCTAGTTAAGCCTTTTGTAAGCGGATCCGCCACATTATCCTTTGATCTTACATAATCAATAGTGATAATTCCACTAGAAAGTAGTTGTCTAACGGTGTTATGTCTTCGTCGTATATGACGAGACTTTCCGTTATACATAACGCTCCCTGCCCGTCCTATTGCAGCCTCACTATCGCAATGTATGCAAATAGGAGCCAAAGGTTTTGGCCAGAACGGAATGTCTTCTAAAAAATTTCGAAGCCATTCAGCTTCTTCACCGGCTTTATCCAAAGCTATAAACTCTGATTCCATAGTAGAGCGAGCGATGCACGTTTGTTCTGCTCCTCCACCAACAGTAAAAACATATCCACTTGTGGACTTTGTTTCTGTTGAGCCGGTTATCCAATTTGCATCACTATATCCTTCGATAACCGCAGGATATTTATTGTAGTGCAAAGCGTAGTCTTGGGTATATTCCAAATATCCCAGAACTCGTTTCATTGCTACCCAGTGATGTTTGTTTGGATTACTTGTGAATCGACTAAGTTTACTTATCGCACAAGCTATATCAGGTCGTGTACAGTTCATGATGTACATTAAGCTTCCCAACACACGAGCATACTCCAATTGAGACGTACTTTCACCTTTATTCTTTATGAGATGATGATTTAAGTCAATTGGAGTTCTTGCACTTCTAAATTCCAAGTGTTTGAATTTTTCAAGTACCATTTTCACGTAATGTGATTGAGACAAAGCTAGACCCTGAGGAGTCCTCTGGATTTTAATTCCTAGAATTACATCGGCAACTCCTAAGTCTTTCATATCAAACTTACTAGCAAGCATGCGCTTAGTAGCTTGAATGTCGGCAATGTCTTTGCTCATTATTAGCATATCATCAACATATAAGCAAACAATGACTATATGATTTGGAACGTTCTTAATGTAAACACATTTATCACATTCATTAATCTTAAAGCCATTTGACAACATTGTTTGGTCAAATTTCGCATGCCATTGCTTTGGTGCTTGTTTTAGTCCATAAAGAGACTTAACAAGTCGACACACCTTCTTTTCTTTTCCCGGAACCACAAACCCTTCAGGTTGGTTCATGTAAATTTCTTCCTCAAGATCACCATTTAAGAAGGCTGTTTTTACATCCATTTGATGGATTTGAAGACCATACAAGGCGGCTAACGCTATTAGCATCTGAATGGATGTAATTCTTGTTACCGGCGAGTATGTGTCAAAATAGTCAAGACCTTCTCGTTGTTTAAATCCTTTGACAACAAGTCTTGCCTTGTATTTGTCAATAGTACCATCGTCTTTCATTTTCTTCTTGAAAATCCATTTAGAACCCAACGTTTTGTTACCTGGAGGAAGATCAACCAATTCCCAAGTATGGTTGCTCAATATGGATTCTATTTCACTATTGACAGCTTCTTTCCAATATTGTGCCTCTGAGGAAGACATTGTTTCCTTGAAGGTACGAGGCTCATTTTCTAACAGAAAAGTCAGAAAATCTGGACTGAATGAAGTAGATGTCCTTTGACGTTTACTTCTTCTCGGATTTTCTTCATTAGGCATACCATCTATTATTTCCTCCCGAGGTCGTTTTGACTTTTGGTAGGTCACTTCACTTTCCTTTTTATACGGATAAATAGTTTCAAAGAATTCAGCATTATCTAATTCTATTATCGTATTAACGTGAATCTCTGGATTTTCTGATTTATGAACCAGAAACCGATATGCCTTGCTATTTGTTACATATCCAATAAACACACAATCAACCGTTTTTGGACCTATCTTAACCCTTTTAGGTTTAGGAACTTGTACCTTAGCTAAACACCCCCACACTTTGAAGTATTTCAAGCTAGGCTTCCTTCCTTTCCACTTCTCATAAGGAATGAATTGTGTTTTACTATGAGGTACACGGTTGATTATTCGATTAGCTGTAAGTATAGCTTCCCCCACAAGTTCTGTGGTAAGCCAGAACTTGTTAGCAATGCATTCATCATCTCCTTCAACGTTCGATTCTTTCTCTCCGCAATTCCATTAGATTGTGGAGAGTAAGGGGCAGTTGTTTGGTGAATAATGCCATTTTCCAAACATATTTCTTCAAAAGGAGATTCAAATTCGCCACCCCTATCACTTCTTATCATTTTGATCTTTTTGTTTAGTTGCGTTTCAACTTCACTCTTGTATTGCTTGAAAGCATCAATTGCCTCATCTTTACTATTAAGTAAATAAACATAGCAGTATCTCGGGCTATCGTCAATAAAAGTAATAAAATACTTTTTCCCACCGCGAGATGGTGTTGACTTCATGTCGCAAATATCTGTGTGAATTAAGACTAAAGGACTTGAATTCCTTTCAACGGACTTATAAGGATGCTTAGCATACTTTGATTCCACACATATTTGACATTTGGAATTAATGCAATCAAATTTTGGCAATACTTCTGGATTTATCATCTTTCGCAATGTTTTGAAGTTTACGTGACCTAAACGCGAATGGCATAAAGTGTTTGACTCAAGTAAGTAAGAAGAAGCATTCACTTTATTGATAGGAACTGCTATTACATTTAGCTTAAAAAGACCCTCATTCAGGTAACCTTTTCCTACATACATATCATTCTTACTTAGTACAACACTATTGGAAATAAAAATACATTTGAATCCATTCTTGAAAAGAAGTGAAGTCGACACAAGATTCTTGCGAATTTCTGGAACATGGAGAACTTGGTTTAGAGTCACTATTTTTCCCGACGTCATCTTCAACGCAATCTTGCCAACTCCTTCAATTTTGGCTGTAGACGAATTTCCCATGAAAATTGTCTCGTCGGGTCTTGCGGGGGCATAAGAAGAAAATAACTCCTTGTTAGCACAAACATGGCGGGTGGCTCCAGAATCTATCCACCATTCTTTAGGATTTCCTACCAAGTTACATTCAGACAACATGGCACACAAGTCCTCCATGTCTTCAACATTTTCAACCATGTTTGCTTGATTTTTCTTCTTCTTTTTCTTTTGTACATCATTCTTTGGTGCACGACAATCCACGGCCTTATGCCCAGATTTTTCACAGTTGTGGCAATTATCCTTGAACTTTTTCTTGCTTGGGTAATTCTTTGGTCCAGAAGCCTTTTTTATTCCGGAAAACTTTCCGGGTTTTTCTGCTGGTGCCATAGCATGAGCATGAGTTGAACGACTTGACGAGGCAGCCACATTTTTAACAGTAGCACCCGTCCCGCAATATTTCCATTAGTTTGGTTTTCATTCGTCATTTTTTTCTGTAAAGTTGGAAACAAAACAGAACTTGGTTAAATCAGTGAAGTTTTGATATCTTCAAACTGAATACCAAAGCCTTTTCTTCTTTCTTTCTTCTCCTTTCTTCTTTCTTGGAGTTTCTGTTCTGTGACTCTCCAATTTTTTTTTTCCTTCTTTCTTCTCTGTTCTCTGTTCTCTCTTCTTTCTTTTTGTTTTGTGCTCTGTTTTTAATCGCTGCTGCTGCAACAGAACAGAGCAACACTGTGTTACTCTGTTTTTTCTTCCCTTTTCTTCTTCTTCATCTCTTCTTCTTTCTTTTTGTTTTGGGCTCTGTTTTTTATCGCTGCTGCTGCAACATAACAGAGTCTGTGTTGCTCTGTTTTTTCTTCCTTTTTCTTCTTCTTCTTCTCTTTTTTTTTTTGCTCTGTTTTTTATCGATGCTGCTGCACTCAACATATTAGTCTGAGAAAAGCTCTGTCTTTTCTTCAGTTCTTCTTCTCTTCTTTTTTTCTTTTTTCTGCTCTGAAATTTCCTCCTTTTTTCCGGTTAAAGAGTTAGAATTAATTGCATATTGACTTGATAATTTTTTCCTATAAAACAATATTGAAATGGCGTCATCCGATGGTAATTAAAGAAATGATATAGCTTGGGATTAGCTTGAAGAAGAATAGATGTTGCTTGTTAGTATGAATCTACTATAGCTATATATTGAGTTTTTAATTTTTGACAATTGATATATTTATTAATATATTATTGCTATTTAAGTTTTTAGTTATATATAGAATATTTTATTTTTTTTTGTATAAATTGTCGCTTCACAGCAAAAAAGCGAGCTCTTCGCTGCTCGCCTCAGTGATGCGGACCCTCGTTGCTATTTGTCGCCGTACGCTATCCAAAACACTGCTTTTAATAACACCGAGTTCACTTGCTAACAACTTGTTTGTTTCCCTTTCCGTTTTATTTTGGGGGGGGGGGTGGGCATGACTATTTTCTGTTGTCTCAAAATTCTAGACAGAATCCAAAATTCTTCCTGGTGAAAAATTAAGGACCACCCAAAATTTTGGAACGACTCAGTCCCACTGAATTGCATGCTCTTAAGTGCAATTTGGCAAAACAGGATATATACACAGTTAGGCTTAACAACTACCATTGATGAGTAGTCAGACATATGTAGAGTGAGCTTGCGATGCATAGGTTAGATATTTCTCCTACCAAGTTTTCCTGAAATATTTCAGAATTTGAAATGATACTTGAGCAGAATTTAACTTAAAAGTTGCATTTGCCACATTTAACTGCCATTTTCATAATGGACTCTCATGCTGTTTAAGCCGAACTACTATTATGCTATACTGATGATTAACATTATAAGGATGCATGCACCCAATGGTGTGGCCTAGTGTACAATGAAGTGGGTTGGGAACCTGAGGTCTCAGATTCAAATTCTAGCGGAGACACAGAAAAGCTAGGTGATTTCTTTCCGTGGAATTAGTCGAGGTGTGCGCAAGCTGGCCCAGATACCACGGTTATAAAATAAAAACATTATAAGGATGCATATATTCTTTAATGGCTTTGTCTTTGATTAATGCTTTCTGATAAACTGTCTAGGCCATCCAGGTAGAGTTGGTGTTAGTTTATCGTCTATTAGTGGAAAGTCGTTTTGGTGTATTTATTAAAATCAAACTTTGGTGTGTTTTGTTCCTGCCACCATTTCCTTTCCTTTTTTCGCCTCTTCTTTTTGGGCTCACTGTTGTCCGTTGCATGTTTTGTAGAGTTAGTGTACAACAACAATGACCCAGTAAAATTCTACTAGTGGGGTTCGGAGAGGGTAGTGTGTACGCCAACCATTGGCTTTGTAGAGTTAGTGTATTCACTTGAAATTGATCCTCCCTTTCTTGGTTTAATGCGACTTAACGTTTTACTAATATGCCTATTTCTTTGTTTTGACAGTTATTTTTCCTTCCAGGCACGGAGAGACGTGTAAGCTAAATCCTATCTAGCTATTTTATAGAGCTTTTCATAGGTTTAGTTAAAAAATTTGTTAACAGTCTTACTTTGATTCCATCTTTTTCATTTAGCTATTCAAGTCTGGTTCTCTCTTTTCTTGTTCTAATTCTTCTTCCCCCCCGCTCTCCCCACACACA